AAATTTTTTTTAAAAAATCTCACGGTACACACAAAATATCCCTTTCTGGAAACACCCCCTGCTGGCAGGTCCCCTGCATCAGGCTGCATGGCCTTAAATCTAAATGGGACCTGCCTGCCTCGTCTCTCTCCCAAATCACGGCTACTGAAGTTGAACCCAGCCTATTGGTTAGTGGCCCAACACACACCACCAGGTGTCTTATTCTAGAAACAAGCTTAATACAAACAAAATTAATTTAACAAAATAAAGTGTTTTCCAAATAGTATTTTAATGCAACCTATAGCAGAAATATATTTTACAGCAATGTGCCAAAGACATTTCAGAAAGCATCCCGTACTTCGAACTGTGGCTCACTCTTGATATTTTCTTTTTCTCTTGTTAAAAACCCTAGCCATGAAAAAATGGCCATGAAAATGGAAAAGGTGTCAAGAGGTTGGGGGAAGTTGGTTGGATTTTCAGACTCATTTTGTTCTGACACCTACAATTGAAAGCTCTGCTACAGAGGTGCAGAAAGTTGGAATAAGGGTGCCATCTTATCTGGAGAAGAACATCCTTAAAATGGGTTGGGTTTGGCCCCAAATCACCTGGATATCTGGGCTTCTCACGTTTCTTGCAGTTCTGTGATTTCCGCCACCATGAGAGGAGGTTGGGCCTAACCTATCTCACTGGACTCCCCTCTCCACTTAAGGCTCCCCCCTACTGCTGTGTTGAAGCAAAAGCAGAGCAACCGCCAGTTGAGTCTGACCCTCCGGGATCAGGTCTCCCTGTGAGTGTGCCTTCCTGTTCCTGGATTTTCTCCTCCCACTTCCACACAAAGTAGTCCCAATGACAGAGCAGCTGGATTAGGCAAGTAGCCTGTATCCCCCATGTCTCTGAATCAAACTCAGGAGCTGGGCCCTCACCAGACATGGGCGCAGCACCGGCCTAAGAGCTCCAGATACTGGGACCCTCCATGGGACAAAAGGACTTAGATTTCCTTTCCTTGGCCCTTCTTGGAAATCTCTAGACCAAAAGGCCACACATTAGGGGATGTGAGGGGGAGAAGACTTGAGTCTTAACCACTGCCATAAAGTTTATTCTGACTCATAGTAACCCTCCGTCAGGCTTCCTAAGTAGTAAATATTTATTGGGTGGAGGCCATCTGTCTTTCTCCCGCAGAGCAGCTGGTAGATTCAAACTGTCAACTGTTGGGTTAACAGCCCAACACTAGGTGCTTGTTTCACAAATAACTTCATCTGCTCCTTCCCTGTCTCCCACCCATGGGAGGTGCTGCTGATGGATTCTAGCATTCTCTTAGCTGAGTCTGAGGCTTCAGCGCAGCACTCCAGGTATTTATCATTCAAGATTGATAATACTTTACCATCCTACTCTTAACTGGGGCTTCCAGACCTCTGGGGGAGCCTAGACATTGGAAAGGGTTTTCTCCACCCCAACCCCATGAAAAACCACATCTATGCCTCTACCATGTTCTTCCTTCCTATTTAGGAACTCTAAGCCCACCCTATGGTTCTGGCCAAACAAGGCCTCCCACCACCCACTCACATAGGAGCTGTCCTACCTTCATAGCTTAGACATGTGACAAGAAAAAAAACTTAGCATGTATTTTGGATTTTTAAACCCCTTAATCACCACCATTTACCCCTATGGTTCAACTTTCACCAAAAACAGGTCTTATAAGGTGAACCAGGGAGCTACTCAGTCCAGCCTGCAGTTTAGCCCAGGGATAAAACTCAATTGATGCTTTTGAATTGTTGTAAAAGAATATTGAATATACCATGGACAATCCAAACAAACCCGTCTTGGAAGAAATACGGCCACAATGTTCCTTTGAAGCAAGGGTGGTGAGGCTTCACTGTTTTGTCAGGAGGGGCCAGTCCCTGGAGAAGGACTTTATGCTTGAAAAGTAGGAGGTTAGTGAAGAAGAGGAAGACCATCCAGAAAGTGGACTGACAGTGACTGCAGGAACGGGCATGCATAGCAAACAGGATGCCCAGCACCAACTCCAAGACACCACCACCACCACCAAAGCTTGGAAGGCGGGAGAGAAGGACTAGCAGAAACGAGAATGACATACACCAGCACGGATGTGAATCGTAAACCAACTTGCTCAAAACTTTCACTTAAATCATAGTGAAATAAGAAAAAGAAAGAGTTGCACAACTTAACACAGATCTTCACCTTTCTTTTCCAAGTTGTTCTTTTTCTATTAATATAAACTCACTTCTAGCTAACCTACTGTCTTTCAAGCTACTGTTGATACTTTAATCCCATGTAGATAAATCTGAAAAGAGCACAATTCCTAAGGCAGGCATTTTTTTTTAAATAATTGAGCTAAACTATTATTTGGTTAATTAAGCTAAACCATTCTCTCTTGTGGCTAACGTTGAAAAGAATGGGAATCCCAGAACACTCGACTGTGTTCATGTGAAACCTGTACTTGAACCAGGAAGTAGTTACAGGAACAGAGCAAGGGAATGCTACATGGTTCCAAATCAAGAAAGGACTGCTTCAGGGATATGTCCTTCCTCCATACCTTTTCAATCTATATTCAGAACAGATCATTCAGGATGCTACATTCTATGAAGAATATGGCATGATTTGAGGAAGACCTGGCAACAACCTGCATTATGCAAATGGCACAACCTTGCTCACTAAGGAGGTTCTGAAGCATTTGCTGCAGAAGGCCAAGGACTTGAGTCTTCAATATAGATTGCATCTCAACATCAAGAAAACAAAGATTCTCACCACTGGGCCAATTGTCAGTTTCATGATAGATGGTGAAGAGTTTGAGATTGTTAATATCTTGCTCTGGTCCACAGTCAACACTCTTGGTACCAGCAGTCAGGAAATCAAAAGACAAGTTACTTTGGGAAAGTCAACTGTCACGGACCTCTCCAGAGTGCTAAGGAGTGAGTGACAGTGTCACTGATCCAGGCCATGGTCACAATTACTTGCTATGCCTCTGAGAGCTGGACAATGGCTAAGGATGACAAAAGATGAATCGATGCCTTTGAGTTGTGATGCTGAAGAGACAGGTCTGTCCTCTAGAGAGTGAAACCAGGTTGCTTCTTGGAGACAGAGATTTTGAAGCTCCATCTCACATGCTGGACATGTTGCCAGGAGGGACCAGTCATTGGAGGACATCGTGTTTGGAAAAAAGGAGGACAGCACAGGAGAGGAAGACTCTGGATGAGACAGACTGACATAGTGACTGTGGCAATGGAAGCAGATGCGTCAGAGACTGAGATTGGCTCAAAATAAGGCAAGGTCCAGAGCTATTGTTCACAGGGTAGCTACGAGGGTAGTCGACTCAAGGGCACATAACAACAACAACGATGACAGTCTTGGAGAAGATGCAACAGGTGCTCCTTAGAGGCAAGGACAGTGAAATTCCATCTCACATGCTTTGGGCATGTTGCCAGGAGGGGCCAGCGCTTGGAAGAGGCTTTCATGCTGGGAAAGGTTTTAGAAGGTCAGTGAAAGAGGAAGACCTTCAATGAGATGGACTGGGACAGTGCAGTTAGCATGACAGAGATCATAAGGATGGCTGAAGATAAGGCAAGATTCAGATCTATGATTCATAGGGTCACTCGACTTGTTGGTATGTGTAACAACATTCTTTGGTTTTAAAGACGACTTTGGGG